TCAGGTTGCTTGTTGGCGGTGTTATCTCCTCAGGTCGGGCTCCTGTCTCGTTGGACAGAGCTGATCCGGATTGCCGGGCCCATGAGCTCATGTGTCAGACTTGGACACAGTGCGGACTCCTGACTACCCAGAACGGCGCAGCAAAAGAGACAGTAGACAGGGACACAGGAGCTGAAACGCGATGGGAAAGAAAGAGGGAGAGGGCCAACTCAAAGACGTGTTAGACCTATGGTTTTTTCCATCTGTTTGGTCCAGAAATCACGTGCGTCCCAACGCGTGGATTGTGACTTGGTTGAGTTTGTGTTGGACCATCACCGACTGTGCCTGTGCATGCATGTGTCTATTTCAAGTTTCAAGTTTCGGTAGTTCCGGCGCAGTGAGCATACAGAATCAAAGCAAAGCAGAGTTGAGATATGGATACGCAGCGACGGTGAAAGCACAGCAACGGGCTCACACGCATGCATATTGTCGATCCACCTCAGATCTACTTGCTGTACTTTGAAACTTCAGTGCTTTTTATGCAAGCTCGTCCACTTGAAATGAGGGGGTTTGCTGAGGCGGGCTGCCATTCTCAGAGCATGTATGAAAGGCCAAGACAGAGCCACTTCAAGGATCAGCACGCTTGGGAGCACTAGGAACACAAAGAGCGTCGGCGCGAAGGACCTAGCAACCTCAACGAAGCCGTGAGCGTGTGCGTGTGCGTGAGAGAAAGAGAGAAAGAGAGAAAGAGGTTCTCGGGAGACAAAGTTGTAGAGTCTGAGTTTGGCAAGGGCGTACTGCAGCAACGCTCGGACGGCTTTTGCGTCTGTACCCTCGCACGTCCATGGCTGCAGCGCTTTGACATTGTCTACAGAGACCGACGCCACCATCCTGTGACCGGGGCCATTCCACTTGACCTTGTTACTTTCAGGAACCGGCAGCTTTACCTTGTACATTACATTGATTGGATCGGACGTCATTCGTTTGCAGCACTTGGCTCTCGTGGAGCGATCCCAAAGACATACGCCGGCACGACACAGTATCAACCTTCATTGCCAGCTTACGCCCTACTTTCGGATTCCCCGACATACAGTAGTCGTTCAAGGGCGAAGTAGACGCCAGAAACGCTTGCTTTGGGAGCTCCGTCATCTCATCTCCCTGCTTCGCGCGCTGCCGACCCGCAGCTGCAGCCACATCGCGCACGCCGACACTCCTTCATGTCTCCCGCTCTCACGCGTGGGTCTGCAGCAGTCCAGAACAACTGCATCGCCACCACCACCAACTCGTCCAACACATTCTTCGACCCGGAACATCGCTCAGAGTCACCGTCCGTACTCGCAGTCGGCGGCAGTAGCCCTGCACCCCGGCAGCCGTTTGTGCCCAGGCGCAAGGAGCGCAAGACAGAACCGTATCCGTATTTGGTGCCCGGAGCCACCGCAAGTGCTGACTGCATTCAGGAACTCATTCAGCCCGCAGTGCTTTCCGTCGATTCTCAACGCCTGCAAGACCTTCCGCCGAGACCGCTATCGGCTTGGGGTGCGCCATCCTCTTCTGCCCAATCTTCATCAGCTGCTCCTGCACGCTCCGCAAGGTCGACCGGTAGCACATCTCGCAGCTTGGCACCCCCGAGCACTGAATCCAGCAGACCAACGACACCTCTCACTACCCCTGTACTGAGGGCTAAAGCTTCGTTTGTAGTCACTCGAAAGGACTCGCTCGCCACTACCTCATCTCCTTCGGTCCATTTGAGGCCTCAGCCTCTGGCAAACACGGCGTCAAACCCAACGCCAGCGTCTTTCGCGAACGCATCTTCAGCACCTCAAAGGACACTACTGGACGACTTTTCCTCGCTTTCTGTCAACTACGCTGCACCCGTCATGTCGGCACCCAAGATCAAAGCCACCGTCTCGGCCGACGTTGCAGCTCGAATTCGGTCTCCCAAGAAGCACGCATCTACGTCAATGCTTCGGTCTACGGCGAGCAGCGGTGGAGCATCTGCGTCTTCAGCGGGCAGATCAACACCCCAGCCTTCGTACTCTCAACGGGCAACACCTGCCCTGCGTCATCAAGCCAGCTTCGTCTCTTCGCCACTCGTCTCGACCTCGCTCGATACAGCCAGGTTCAGCGCGGTCGCGCATGCAGGTGTGACGGTGGACGATATTGACGGGGACGGCGAGGGTGGAGACAGCTCGTTTGTGTATGATGGGCCCTCGGAATCTTCGTCATCACTGTCGTCCTCGTTATCACCCACCGGTGCACAGCCGGACACGGTACAGGTCCACGTCCGTCTGCGTCCACCCAAGCCTGGCGAGGAGTGTGCCTGGATTGCCAGCCCGTTTAGCGGATCGATCGCGCTTGAACCCGGTCTGGCGGCCGCACGTGTCCAGAGCGCACATCTGGGTCCGTTCAACTTTGACGGTATCCAGACCGGGTCTGCCAATCGCCCTGTCTACGTTTCGGTGGCACGTCCGCTGATTCGTGCGGCGTTGGATGGATACGATGCAGTCGTGTTTGCGTATGGACAGACGGCGTCGGGCAAGACGTTTACGCTTTCCGGCGACGAACGCGGCAAGGAGCCGGGTATCATTCCCCGTGCCGTTAGGGACATTTTCCGGGGCATCCGACAGAGCAGTAATCGGCGCGAATACCTTCTACGAGCTAGCTACCTCGAGATCTGGAACGAAGTGGTCAAAGACCTACTCGAGCCTTCCAACGTCCCGCAGGTTCGCGACGACAAGAGAAAGCGAGGCGGAAAGGGAACCACGGTGCAGCCGCTGCGGGAAGAAATCGTCACATCGCCAGCACAGGTCCGTGAACTCCTCGCTCGAGGACAGGCGAATCGACACGTCGGTGCAACCGACTGGAACGAGCGCAGCTCGCGTAGTCACACTTGCTTCAAGATCACCATCGAGTCGTGGGAGCGTGATCGTAGCAGTGAGGTTGCTTCGAGAGCGACGCCAGCTGGATCTTCGGCGTCGAGTGCCAGTATGGGCAAGAAGGTGACCGTGTCCGAGCTGTGTCTGATCGATCTGGCTGGATCGGAAAAGTACGTCTCGCAGGGCTCCGACCGTCGAGCCGAGGGATCACACATCAACAAGTCGCTGCTTACCCTGGGCAAGGTGATCTTTGCGCTCTCGGACAAAGGGTCTCAGCATGTGCCGTATCGTGATTCCAAGCTGACGCGAATTCTTCAGAACTCGCTCTCGGGTAATGCACGAGTTGCGGTCGTGTGCACGCTCAACCCGCACCCAAATGCCATCGACGAGAGTCTGTCGACACTCAACTTTGCGAAGCGGATCAAGAAGGTCTCGTTGAACGCTAGGCGAAACGAGGTGGACGGCGAACTCGGGGCTCTGGGTGCCGAAGCGCAGGCTCTGATCCTACGATACCAGACCGAGGCGGAGGCACTTCGACGCATGGTCGTCGATCTGCAGCAACAGAGTGCCAGTGCAACTGCAGCAGTGGTGCAGGTGGACGACGAACGCATCCGCGAACTGCAGGAACGTCTCGACGTGATCGGCAGCCTTGTCGTCCGTGGTGGTGGCGTAGGAAGCGACGCGGGTGACGATGTACCCGGTGTAGACTTGAACGACGATCGAGGACCAGACAGTGGCAGTATTCAACGAATAGGTCTCGATTCCGACGACGAGGACTCGTCGCGTACGCCCGGTATCAGTCCTTCTCCTTCGCAGTCTTCGCGCTCCACATCGGTGTCGGGGCGAAGTGTAGCGCGTCCGGTGTCACCGATGAAGCGAGGCCCTGCTGGTGGCATGCAGCTGTTTGGGTATCCCGAGGCGCCTCATCTGGTAGCTGAGCGGCTCTTCCTAGCCGAAAAGCAGATCGAGTCACTGAAGCAGGAGCTTGCATCTCGACCCTCGTTGCCAGCATCGCAATCGGAGCAAGCACAATTGATCGCCAAACAAGCGCAGCAGATTCGAGAGCTCGAGGCGGTCTGTGAAGCCCAAGCCACCGACGCACCACCCAAGATCCGAGAAGACGTGGAGCGCGAGTTCCGGGATGAGTTGGACCACCTCCGTCAGCGACTCGACCACAAGGACCAGTTCATCGCCAGTCTGCAGGACGAGACTACTCGACTCCGTCGCGCAAACGCAAAGCTGATGGAACTGGCGCATCAGCAAACCGCCTCCATGGTCGAGACGCTCTCTTCCCCGACAAAGTCTCCGCTCAAGTCGTCTTCGGTATCCTCCTCAGCAGCAACGCCGTTTGCCAACTCTACCAACACTCCAACGTCCAGAGGCCTTGGTCGTCTGAGCCCAAGCAAACCCCGTCCCCTCAGCCTCTTCAACCCTTCCTTTGCCCACAATGCCTTGCCGGAACACGGAACCCCTGCCAAGCCGCTACTACTCCCCTCCTCTGCCTCCCCGAAACGCAGAAGCATCAGCAACGATTACTCCCTCCTCACCGCCGGCACTGGCCAGATGGAGGACGAAGTCACCACCAATCTCGCGCTCACTCCTTCAGAAACGTTTGCTATTCTTCCCCGCTAGAACCGTGCATCGGGGCAAGAGGCTTGATTCGAGTCTGTTACAGACCCTTTTTCCTATTTCTTTCGTTTGATCTTCATTTCGATACCATTTCACCCGGATCCTACATCCTACTTTGCCCGTTTTGCAACATTCTTGATGACCTACAAGCTTACGTGTAGACATGTGAAACGTGTGGTTGGTTTGTTGAGATGCTGTGTGACTTTGTGGTGGTGCCGTCTGGATAAGCCGGTTGTCCGGGACTGAATGATGTAACAAACAAACAAGGGAAAAAAAGACGGAATTTTAGGACCCCAATTTTCGTCAAGCTAATTTATTCCGTAAGAAAAGATTCACCAAAATTGCCCGGGACACTCTCCGCTTCTCGACGGGGACAGAAGCGGCACGATATCGACCCCGTACCTTTCCGACGATACCAACGACGAACAAGTCCCCAGTGGCAATGGCATCGGCTAGACCTTGCATCTCGCGGCGATCATAACGAGACAAAAGATATAAAAAAATATTTATTATACCTGACCAGTCTGGGGTTCGAACCCAGGAATACTAGAGTTGGTTTCAGACCTGTCCTCTCAAGTGTGAGAGGTAGTACCTAAATCTAGCGCGGTAACCACTGCGCCAACCGGCCGTAGAGCACTAGAGCAGAGCTATCACATGCGCTATAAACAAAGAACCATTATAGCATATTTCAATCTTGTCCGTTTCTGCTTTCCGGTTTCGCTGTGGGCATGATCTTGTCGAATGGCTGACAAGAGGGCAGCACAGAGACCACCAGGCTGCACTGCGGTCTCTCTAGAAGGGTTTGGTGTTGCTCGGCCAACCTGGACCAGATAGAATCAGGGACGGGCAATGTTGCTGGTTGTTGCTATTGGTGTTTGTTATTGTTGTTGTCAACAGCCTTCCGGAAACGGAAAACAAAAAAGTGTCAACGTGGATGGTGCCGGGGAGCAATGCGGTTCTGCCTTGCTTGGCTGGGGAGAGAGAAAGAGAGAGAGCGTGATATTTTCAGGCACGCTGGAGATTTAGAAACAAGCTTCCGGGCCGGCGTGGCGCGGCAGACACGCACCCGCACGGTGACTGTGATTCCCAAGAGTGGGCCAAGTGGAGCAGTGTGCCGAGCTGCACCTCTTTTCGACAAATACAGTACAGTACAGTGCAGTACAGTAACTGTGCTGTACGACGGGCTGAGCTTGGATTGCTTCCCCGGTTAGAGCTGCTACTGTACAGTATAGTCCAGACCCTACCTTACTGGTGCTTTCTTTGCTTCGTGCGGCCGACATCTCTCCAACTTCTATTCCCGCATCCATCATCTCGCTGTCCTGCCGATCTGAAAGGTCTGGACCACCACCACCTGTCCATTGCAGATCTCTCATCCGAAGCCCGAACCCCACGTCGTCCACGTTCCACTGCCTTGGACCCGGCTTTACTCGCTTCAACCTCCGACTTCAATACACGGTCGCACCGAATTCCCGGCCTCTATCACATCGTACTTTCACCGTCGAAAACTACGGCGCGCAAGCATCCACAGTACCAAGGTCACAGTGAAGAGGACTTCGTTTGCGCTTCAATCTCTGCCCTGCACCGGCGGCCGCCCTTCTGGTGTAGAAGCGTCTTTCCATAAGCGTCTTTTCTGCCGCCTTGTTTTCCTGCGCTCGGATCTCGCAGATCCTGCTGTCGCTGCGGCTGTTACCGACACCGCATCGACCCTAGCTGCCGCTGACCGTCACACCCTCAGAAAGTGATCTGCTCCGCCCCTCTCTCTCTCGCTCGCCGATCCGACAAACACGATCCGGACTTCCAATTCCTGACCAAGTCCAGACCGTGCTATCCTGCGGTCCCCCCGACATTCCGACTCGGTTCCCCATCCGTTCGTTGTGCCTTCTACCTGGATTCGCCCGATCACCTTTCGTCTAGACGGTCCAGACCTCCTTGCCTCTTTGTTCGGCATCCCACACCACCCTCCGCAAGTCACCCGATTCGATCCCGACCAGCTCCCTTCCCTTCCCAGTCCAGACCACACCTGTCTTGATACCAAACGCGACAGCCGCTTGCCGTCTTCGATTATCCGCTTTCAGGGCCTTCCGCTTCCGCGTCCGCTTGATCCGGCACAAGAAGATCTGGGCTTCTCACTCCACGGCGACTTGTTTACAACTCCTCCCCCGCCGCCGCCCAGTACTATAGTTCGTTGCTTGTTGCCGCAAGACTCAGCTCCACACGGTCAGGCACGCATTAAGAACAGATCTAGTCGTCTGACTCGGCACGTCAAGATCGTCGTGCGGATCGAAGCGGCTCGGACTCCGGCGTTGCTGTTCTAAGTCGACTTGTTCACAAAGCGGCCACCGAGTTTTTGCAATTCTGCACCGGCTGCATCGGGAGCATACACGGACACTCACAGGCCCTTTTTTCCCGTCAACGCAGCGCAAAAGAGTGGTAAGATGTACTACCCTCTGCTCACGTCGTCGTTTTTGCTCGTGGTGGTACTGCTGTTGGTTCGGAACCGGGCTTTCTTGTGTTCCTTGTTACCAGAGGGATTTCGGAGTCGGTTGCCGGAATGGTTGACCCGAAGCACGGATCAGGGGTATACTCCACTTCCGTTACGAGGCGGTGCAAGAGACTGGGCGTCCCAGATCAGAAACGGCCTCACTTCTTCCCTCTTTGATATCGAGGCTAACGTGGCAAATGCTGATGCTAGACAGGGACTCGATCCAGTCGGGGTCATGGATATCCAGGCTATCATGGCAAAGTATAACGTCGTATGTATCGCCGCTTTTTTCTTCCTTTGTGCCAAAGCTCGGGACGATAGACTGACCAAAAGAATCAATCCCCGTTTTCTTGCTCAACTTGTGAATTGGTGCAATCTGTTTCACGTTCTCTTTCTTACCATCAACAGGGCTTCGATCAAGCAAGGTTAATACGTCACCAACAAGTCCTGGCCTCTAACAACATTGATCCTCAGACCGGTCTGCCCCTTGACTCGAAGGCCGTCACTAGTCTAGGCCCCAGACCTAACCCGCCTAGTAATCTAGCTGGTCCCAGCTCTCGCACTTGAGACTCGAGACTTGATACTTGGAACCTGATTCCGCTTTTTTGCAATGTCACTCTTCTCGAGTATCATCGAATCTAAGGTTGCACGCTTCTCACTGCGCATCCTTCGTCGTCACAACGTGCAGTCAGAGTCGTTGGTAATCGGTAGTGATAGTGGTAGCATGTCATTAAATTCGTCATCTTTGGTTCCCGTTACTGCGACGTGACTATGAAAAGAGAGAAAAAGGAAAATAATGAAAGGAAATGGAAGACAATAGTTATCTTGAACAATAGTCGGAAGAGAAGATAAACGTGAAAATGGTGGGGTAATTCTGTAAACAGAACATTTTGGGGTCAAGAAGAAAAAAAGAGTACGATTGGAAGGGAAAGTCGTTAATGATGATGTCGAGATACAAATACATATGTGCTGATCAGAGAGGGCTGCCGAGAAAGAGAGAAAGGAAGTCGTAACAGTATGGAAAGGCGAGAAGCTAGAAAATATCCGATTGAGAGATAGAGGGAGAATTATTGCGGGGGAGAGGGCGGAGAAGCCAATGGCAGGACCGAGTTGAGTGGTGAGACGGGTGTGAAGGTTGATCGACGCCGGAGATGGGGCGGGAGATGGGATTCGTCATCGGGGAGATCGAATTCGAGATCTTCCGTGTCGCTGGAGCTCGTGACTGTTTCAGGCACGTCTGGGACAGCCGTGCTTCTGGAAAAGCGACGAGGTGGAACGGGTGGTTTCTTGACCGTGCTCGAAGTGCGACTCGGAGGTGTGGGTGGACTAAACATGGACAGATCGAATCTCGGACCTGCCCTGTCCTTTCCCTCTCTCTCTCTCGTCGCGTGGCCAAGCAGCGCAAGATCGTCCCACGAAGGTCGACGAGACTCGCCGGACTCGGTGCGCAGCCAGATGGAAGCCGCGGAAGTCGAGGGCGACAAACGAAGCGGAATGAACCCAGAGCCTGATCGACCGGCTGGGAACGCGTCCAGCTGTTCGTTTGTGCTATCCTCAGACCAGTCAACTGCGCCGCCTCGCGGGCCCAAGTGCCCCAAGTGCATTGTCATTTCCGGCGCATCGAGGTACTGATCTCCCTCCGTCTCCAGCACAAGCTCGAGGCTAGCTTCGTCCTCCTCGTCCGCGAGCGAGGTTTCCCGCGAATGCGCTTGAGGAATGGTGGGCATCGTCGTGGTCGAGCCAGTGGCTGTCTGGCTCGTCGTGTTTGGAAGCCCGACAAGGCGGCCCGAGGACCGTCGACGTCCCATCTCCCACACCTGTTTCGGCACAATCGGATTCGGATCCATCAGAGGACGACGCTTGATGCCTGCAGAACGGCCGACGGAAGAAGTGCCCGAGCTTGCCGGTACGTAGCGTGCGTTCTGCAGTGGATCGACCGACTTGAATCCAAACGCCGCCGGCTCTCCGAGCACAGAAGATCCTGTGGTCGAGGGGCGACGTCGCGAAGTCATGCGTGGAAGCGTGTCGTAGCGTTTGCCTTCGGTTTCGTCGCGTGCACAGCTTCCGCCGGTGTCGGTCGGTCTGCTTGGGCCCTGCGCCATTGTCGCGGCAAATGAGGGGCCCGAGATCGAGATAGACGGGACACGTGAATCGCTTGGATTGGCAAGGCCACTTCGGCGACGCTGTTGGTGCTCCTGCTGTACGTGCATCGGTGGTGGCGTGTAGTACAACGAGGGGCGCGGTGCAAAGCTGCTGCTCGAGCATACCGACATGGGCAGGCTGGAGGTGCTGCCGTTGGCGTCGACAAAGGGCGAGTAGATCGAAGAGGTGTAGGAAGCGTGGCCGTCGTCCGACGCATCAACAAACACGTGCTCGAGCATGAGGCCTTCTCGCTGATGACCAGGCTGCGAGATACGCGGCCACGTCAATTGCGAGCCCGACCTCGAGTGACTGATGTGGTGACTACGCGGACGATGACTGATGCTGCTCTGCCACGAGGCGCGGTTGGCTGCTTCCTCGAGCGTTCGCTCCCAGTCAGCCTCTGCGTCGAGTCCGGAAGATGACAACGACGAGGAAGAAGGTTTGTTCGTATGGCCAAAGAGCGCCTTCATCGACTCTCGCGAGGTGGCGGACTTGCATCTCTTGCCGCTCTCCTTGCGACCGACGGCACTGTTGGCCGAGTGGTTGCTGTGAAAAGTGTCGAGCTCGTTGCGTAGCAAGTCTGGCGAGGTGGCCGATGACGACATTCCGCCGTGCGCCGATCCAGAGATCGAAAAATTCGAACGCAGTGAAGAGGCCGACGAAGGTGGCGACAGGGTTTGTGTTGCGCCGGTGATACTGATACCCTCAAAGTGGCTGGCTAGTGTCTCTACAGGCTCCGGCTCGTCTTTTTGCAGACGGAGGCGCGGAAAGGTGTGATGCCGTCGCTCGGGTACGGTGGGACTGGGCGGCCCGGCGGGCTCACGAGCAAAAGGAATGATCTTCATCATAATCTTGGACCTTCGCTTCGACGAGGACGAGCCCTGCTGCGACGCGCCAGCGTCGCTTTTGTTGTGACTCGGCGCAAACATGGTCAGAGTGAAAAGACGGTCTTACTCGTGCTGATGGATGAGCCCGAAATTATGAGCGAATGGGAAGCTTTGACA